TCGGGCATGGTAAAGCGACGCACCCCGGATCGAGTATAATTTTTAGACCTCGGGAGACGCGGTGGACGATTATGCATGACAGATAGGGCGCCGTAGTACTCGCCCTCAACTGGATATTATGGCGCGTGAAGTGATTTGCAATACATACAAAAACAATAAGTGCGTGACATCGCGACTTATTTAAATAAATTCTATAAATATTAAAAGCGATTAAAAAGTTAAAAATGTACAATAGGNGACATCGCGACTTATTTAAATAAATTCTATAAATATTAAAAGCGATTAAAAAGTTAAAAATGCATAATAGATTTTAAACATGTATTAAATCAGATAATTAGGCCAATTATTAATAGTTGAACGATCGTGCTAAAATCACGAAACTCGGGAGTGCCTCACACCTTCTCCCGGGTTAATAGAATTCCTTACCCGGTCTTCTATGTTCGCGGACCATAAATAGAGTCAATTTGCTCGATTTGGGATTTTAAAATAAACCGGTGACTTGGGACACCATAACAATTATTTCAAGTGGCGACTCTGATTAAATAATTAATTCCATTTCAAATAATATCACTTTAATTGAAAAAACTCCCTTATCCCTTCAGAAAAAAGAGGTGTGACAGTAAGAAACTCAAATGAAACCACAACCCATACTTAAGTTACACCAGAGGAAGGAACATGTGATGGAACAAGTCCTTCCACCCAGGGCAACCTCACAGGGGGAACTGAACAAAGAGGAACTGATCCTCAAACCTCGAGGGAACCTGTCTATCAATGTGATGACCCGATAGGTCAACTAGAGTTTTAAACCTTAATTCTGTATTTCGAAACCTCAAGTATCTCATTTTAACTTTTCTCGATTTGTGTGTGAAGTCCGTGTCTTTTTTCGAGAGGCTTTTATGTTAAAAATTGATTAAAATATGAATTTGTGCCTATTTTTGTAAAATAACTAGATATACTAGAATTTTCTTGAACCACAACACTTAGTTCTTTATGTAGTTGAAAAGGTTTAGCCCAATTTGTCTAACCAAACCTGTCTGTTAAATCATTCCACAGGTTTTTTGCACTGTGTGAGTATATGACACTCTCTGCTATCTCCTTTTAGAGAGAATTGAGCAACCGGGAGAGGACCATATCATTACATCTTGCCCAAGCACCTTGAAGACCAGAGTTTTCATCTGGGATAGAGAGGGTTCCATCTATGAACCCTAATATGTTCTTGGCAGAAAGGGCTATGACTACAGCTCTACGCCAAGCTCCATAGCTTTTGTCATCAAAAGCTGAATAAACTAAGTTCATCCCTGGATAGTTAGAAGGATGAAGAAAAAAAGGGATGAGATGAATCAATCACCTCTTTCTTGGATGAACCAGTTCCAGGAACTGCAGCAGCAAGTGTAGGTTCACTTGTTTCAACCATCTTGAAAGAAAGCAGGGAAAAACACAAAAACTGAAAGAGAAGATTTGACGACAAGCAGATTAATTAACCTGCTCTGATACCATGCAAGAATAAACAATTTTGAAACCAAATCTTGGTTCTTTGACTTTGTTTTTTTTTTTTTTTGTATTGAATGAAATATCATATGTACAGGTATAGCCAATTTATACAAAAATCCTATGTACTATTTTGCTAGGTGTCCCTATACTATTTTGTATTTCTCTAATGAATTTGTACCTTTGTACTATTTATGTATATACAATAAAAATAGAAAATACAGCTAAGATGTTCTAGACTATTCCTTCATTTATTCGTTGGAGAAACAACTGGATAATGAGTCATGTGGTGCTAGCACTTTTGGGATAAATTGGTCTTTCTCTGCATCTGAAATATGTCAAACAAAACAAAAGACTCTAGGTTAGTGGTTAGTGCTGTACTTAGAAATTTTAGGTCCTCCTCCTCCTCCTTCTTTTTCTTTTTCTCCTCCTCCTCCTCCTCCTTCTTCTTCTTTACTTTATCATACGATGCACCTCTATAAACTGATGTGCCTCGATCATAACTCCGATCATCTCTAATTTTAACGTCAACATAATTGGACATTAATTGACTTAAATTCTCTAAGAAATGATTCGTTTAATCATCCGTTGCAACTCTTGATTGCCCTCAGAACTGTTTGTTGTCTTTATTTACTTAAATTATTGAAAAATAATAAATAGCAAAAACAATGACAAAAAAGATAAATAGCATTCCTTGTTAAAGAGATACGCTATGTCATGGGAAAATGTCCCTGCATTATCTATATATAGATAGATTATATCCATGTCAACCTAACTCCATGGTTATTTTTCAAGTCCAATATACAATTTTTTTTTTGCAGCTCGGACATATTGAATTTTATTTAGATTAATAATTTTCTTATTATCAGGCATAGCTTGTTTAACATATGAAGTTTGGTAACAGAAAAACAGATTATGCCCACACTCCCAGAAAAATATATTGAGATAGGAAAGCATAGACAAAAAATAAAAAGGAAAACATTTAATCTTTCCTTAAGATTCAGAATAAATTGATATGACTATAAGAATTGTTACAAAAGCCCATTGGCTGATAGGATTCTCGAAATTTAACAAGTCCAAAGAAAGGACACATAGCCGTCGGACCCAGTATAGCAACTGGGCCCAAGATCGCCAGAATTGGGCGGGCTATTAGAATTACCCGAATCCGAATTGAGAGTCCAGTTTTAGGTCCAGGCTACCAGCTAGCTCTTTGCTTAATTTGACTTTCACTTCGCTGTCATTCTTTGGTTAAAACTTGGATCTTCTGATTCTATTTTTCAATTAAGGATTTGGAAGAATCACTTCTGCTGTTGCCAGAGAAACGTCTTCTAGCTTTCAATTATCAATGGTACGCTGAGGCCTCAACTTTTCTTTTCTTTTATTTTATTTTTAATTTTAATTTTTTTTGGTGAAAAGTAGTTTGTTCCATGTGAATTCTGACAGTTAGAGAGCTATCATTCAATTTAGTCTTTCTTTGTTCCAATAACAATAAAGATGTTGATTATAAGATTACTTGTATGAACGCTCTTCCCAATCAGTCCCCATTTTGTAATTGTTAATAGGCAGATAATTAGTGCTGATATTTGATCTTTTATTTATTTTATTTTATTTATTTATTTTTGAAGTATGTCAGAGTGATTTATATAAAGAGAGCGAGTGAGCATTGCAGAATTTGTATAACAGGTCTTGTGAGGCGGACATGTCCTCACACATCAAGTGAAATTCAAGAGTATTATTCATATGTCTGCTTACTCAACCTAATGTAGGAGAATTTATATTGGAATCAGTTTTTGTCAGTTGAAAATGAGATTCTCTAGTGCGAGAGAACTAATTTGTCCTAAAAAGGTATTGTAATGAAAGAGGTCCAAATATTTCATAAAGCCAACTCCAATAATTTGACATTGAGATGTAATTCTTGTTGTAATCAGTTCTAATCAACTGTTATATTTTTACTTTTGATGGGGGGATAATTGCTTGAGTGTCTAAATTCTATGAAAATTAGTAGTAATAAATTGAATTGGTACAGAGTCATTAAGAATTTTATTGTACCCTAGAATTGCCAATGTCTACTAGCAACAACAACAAACCCAGTATAATCCCACAAGTGGGGTCTGGGATGCCAATGTCTATTAGGATTAACATAATTATATCGTTGAACTTTTTTTGACCTTGAGCCTATAAGGACCTTTAGCCCTGTGGATAGGAAACAAGAGTATCTTGTTGAAATTAGCAAGTGCTAATTTGTAGAGTTTGCACACTCGATGCATCATTTGAAGCAGGTTGTGCTAGTTTTTGCTTATTTAGAAGGTAGTGACAGTTGTTGTTCTTTGCGTTGGTATTGATGCTTTTCAAGTTATATTGATATGGAAATTATATGGCCCAAATAAATTGTCCTATGATTTGTTACAGAGCATGACTATCCTGGAAACAGAGTGATCGGCTTCCACAGCGTTTTGCTAATGAAGCTGCTGCCAGGTTTGATAATGGAGGAGCCTATCCACCTGATCCGAGTTTTATCACTAACGTAATCTTTACAAACAACAGCAACAACAGAGCCAGTGAATTCCCACAAGTGGGGTCGGGGGAGGGTGAGATGTACGCAGCCTTACCCCTACCCTGGAAGGCAGAGAGCCTGTTTTCGGAAGGTGATCTTTACAAAGTTTGGCGAAAATTTAATCCGTGTTGCCTGATTTTCTTTACCTTTTCAGGCCCGACACAATGGTAAAAACTATGTTTCCGCTCTTCCTAATTGGCTATAATGACCGCCCTGCAGTCGTCTCTGTACTTTCTGCCCCTCAGACTGTTCTTTGTTTTTGGTGCTATTCATTTCTTGATAATAGAAGAAGCTGTGCATAGAAAAACACTGTGCATCTTATGTGGCAGTGGGTAGAGAAGATATTGGTAAGAGGGCTAATCCTTCTATTAGCACATAGGAAAAAGAGGCATATCTCTTTCATAAATTGTAGAAAGAAGACCTTCAATTCCTCTCTCAGTGAATTTTGGACAACAGGGAGTGAGTTTCAGATGACCGAACAAATCAATAAGTAAAGATATTGGAGTGAAATTGCATCTTTTGATAGATAATTAGAGAGTATCAGACTAGAAAAGCAATGTAGACTGTATAATAGTAGAGTATAACTTGTGTGTTGCTAGCTAGTTTTTTTAACCATATCTTGAGTATGTGTTACAATGATGTCTTTAGATTTATCTCCTCTTTGGGGTTTATTAAAATAGAGTTTAATTTGGAATTTGGATTCATCTAATTAAATATGAGCAACGAATGAGTAGATTCATGAAGGATTTTATTTGATTTCTTGAAATTTTTGTAAGTACATGTAAGATATGACACTGAAGACTAAATGATGTAACCCTCTAATTGCATTTGCAATACGAAAAAACGAACATCTCTGCCATAGTAACATTACATGGAATAAGAACTCATTCGCGGCATTCTAGTTTATGTATTACTAGTAATTGATTGATCTATGGAATTTATGGATGGCGAACTCCAACTAATCTCACATCATCAACCACAGGACCACACAAGGAGCCAGAGTGATCGCTCTTCATGTGATAGTATGTGCTCAAGAACCTGACCCTGGTGCGTTCAGAAACTGCTTTAAACCGAAGCTTGGCTCGTTTGAATCCTCCATTACCTTTGGATTCGTAGGGGACTCGCAAAGTGATCTGGCCGGCAAATGCCTCTATAAGCATAGACCCTTGGCAGGAATTGCTGGCATCTCCTACCGAGAACATGAGATCATAGACCTTCCCTTTTGTAGTTATCACTTGTTGTGCTATTGCACTTTCTCTACCGGCCACAAGTTCGATGGCGCGCTTGCCCTCCGGCACGGTGAAGTGTGCAGCATCAATGTATTTTACTGCCTTGAGAGATTCAATCATCCATCCAGGCAATGGTGAGTGATCATCTTCAATATTTGGAGGAATTAGAACTCCCCAGCTTGTGTTGGGAAAGATATATGGACCCTCTTCAAAGTTTCCGTTCTTCAACATGTTGCCTGCGTCCATTTTATGTATTAGAATCTGAAGTTTAACTTTTATACACCGATAGTATAAAAGATTTTTTTTTACCAGCTTACTTAAAACACAGAGAGAGGGATTACCTTTTGGTCTATGAGGGTTTTTCAAAGCCTTGAGAGCAATGTAATCAATGAGAGGGCCACAAGCTGGGTCCTTCTCAACTGCAGGATTGTGTAACATGATGTCAATTTCTGTGGCTTGGGCCAAGAAACCCCACGAATAAGAGTCCCAACCATCACTACTATACATGGTCTGCATTGGAAGCATTCCCCAGTCATTAGGCTCATTGTTAGGCGACACCGACACGTTGAGTTTCTCTTCTTGAGCACAGGTCCTAGCAAAGTTGAAGGACAAAGAGTAGAAAGTTCCCTTAGTGACGTTCGTGATTCTGGTTTTGATGGATGCGTCTTCCCCAAGCCTAACAGCAAAAGCTCCTTCTGGCACTGGAAGTAGCATGTCACCTTGTGTTTGGCCTGATTTGATGTATTCTACATAACCTGAGATTTCCCAGTGGGGTATTGCGTGAGGCTCTGTCACTTTTGTGCCCTTCAATTGTGATGGTTTTGGACCTTGCTCGAAGTTGCCGTTAGGCAATAATCCTGAACAACCACAAGATAGAAAAGTTAGTTACGTCCATACAGAGACAGATCACAGGGGCGGAGCTAGAGTTTCGATAACCTATTTTGCTCGGACTCTTCGGAAATATTGCCGGGTGAGTGTCGGATCCTCCAAAAGTAGTGTATTTTTGGAGGATCCGACAAGGGTGCGGCAACAGTTATGGAGAGTCCGCGCAACATAGTCGGTAACGGGTTCGGCCGAACCCAGTAGCTTTAGTGCAAACCATATATTTGTCTTAAGAAATCCATTGAATATGTACAAATTCTTACTTTAGAACCTAGTAACATAGAAGGCTAGAATCCCGAACCCAGTAATTTCAGATCCTAGCTTCGTCTCTAGATAGATGAGGCACGAGTTCAATGATTATTTTCGACACGAGACATAAATATATGTGAAAATAATCACTAAAATATTAATGTATGTCAATTTGTGAAGTCATATTACAAGAGTACAGTGTGTTCAAGCGATAAGAACTTAAATTCTGGATCGGAATATGTTAACTCAAGTTATATTCAAACATTCTATTAACACAAGCAGATCTTCCTCGAACGTGAGAAGATCTACGTTTACGTGGATTAGAACTTATTCTACGGTTAAGGTATAATCTAAACAGCATGTCATGTTAACTGCCATCAGATAATTACAAGTTTTGTTCAGTAATCACGTGAAGAAAGTAAGGCCAGCGCATTAGGTTCTTTTATTTTTCCTTTTTGCCTTACTTTAGCTTCATGTAACATGGCTTGGATTAGGAACAAACCGTGATTAGTAAGCCTACCAGCTATATTTGGGATTAATTTATTAGAAGAAATCAGATGTGGGTAGCGAATAGGAGATGACAACTTGGTGTCGGAAGATCGGTGGCAAGGCTGGATCTTCCATTACTTTTTTTTTTCCTTCTTATTTACAAGCAATTCTTCAAAAAATCCCACCAATTAAATGCAATAGGTAACACGGGGTAAAATTCAGAAGGGTAATGAAGAAACTGTATGGAATGGGTTACTTTAGCGGATAGGATTTAACCGATCGAGGGGATTCAAGATACTACAACAACAACAAATTCAGTGTAATTTCACAAGTAATCGAGGCCTGGGGAAAATAATGTGTACGCATACCTTACTTCTACTTTATAACGGTAGGGAGGTTGTTTTCGATAAACCCTACTGAGGATCTAAAGGAAATTGTTGAGTCGCATTTATATCCTATGGAAGATTGAAGTGACCATCAATCTACTTAAGATGTGTAATTCTATTAAATATTTATTGCTGTTACCGTGACTGTTTCTACAAATAGGTAAACTGTCCTTGAATTTGTTAATTAACCTATATAGACGAACAATAACCTTTTGCAAGAAAATCAAGTCACTCGTTTTCGGTGAGGCTGGTATCAATTATATGAACTTGAATAATAAAGTTCCATGTATTCAGAGGCGGAGAAGGATTTTAAGGTTATGGGTTCGGAATCCTAATCATTTTAAGTTATTGGGTTCTAAATTAATAATTTGTACATATTTAATAAAATTTTAAAGATAAATACATAATTTGAACCAAAACGACTGGATTCGACTGAACCCGCAACAGACACTCCTGCCTCATGTATGTCCCAAATAAGAAGAAATGTATGTAAGCTATATTACGTAATAATAAGTAGTACAAATTATAACTATTAATAATTTAAAATATTGATAAAATATCTTAATAAATCACGGTAAAAAACAAAATTCTTTTTAACTCTCCGAATAATAGTAGCAGTGTCATCAGCATAAGTGAAACAAAGAGAGTAGGAATAATTAACACGGGAATCAGGCTATTCCGATATTCCCAAATCCCAACCAGTTATTTTATTGCCCAATTCCTCGTCATAAAGATCCATGTGCAGAAATCTGAAACTTCATTCTGATTTCTGCATGAAATTAATACACAAAATATCGTATTGCCTAATAGCTAAGTAACTACGTGTACGTCGGAGGTCGGTTTCCATGAATATTTTCCTGAATTTATACGCCAGTACTTCCATCACTACCACTCCCAAAATTAGAATAAAGTTTGATATTCCAGCGATTTTCATAGTATTCTTTTCTTCTTCCTTTTTTTCCATCTTCTACTTCCTCTTTAAATGTATGTGTGTCTGTGTGAGATATTCATTCATAAATCTTCTAGGAAACAGCTCTTAAATGAAGAAAAAAAAGTTACGGAACAGATATGACCCTGATTTTTATAAAATAAATCATAAGAACCAGACAAGAAGGGCTTTATTCTAATTAAATACTGTATTTCCGAATGAAGGGCTTGTGATCTTATGTTCTACGTATACGTCTATTGTTCTCTGCTACAGGACCTCACAGCAAAGACTGGCAAAGCAAATTAAAACACCAAAATAGGCTAAAAGCAAGAAGATGCGGAATTGCAGGCAAGGAGTGATCATCAACTTTGCTTTTCACACTACATACGTTAACACGTGAAAAACAATTACACTATCATGTTTCTAAAACTATTCTTAATAAGTAAAGTCAGTAATTTGAGATATAAGATCAAAAGTAATTTAGTTAAATTACACTAATAATCATATGCTAAATGAGTAATGAGTTATACACAACTTTATGTATATTTCCCACAATGGAAGCAAAAAGAGAAAATGCATAGAAACTTACCATCATCTACAGATAAAACGACATTTATGGTGGCACAGAGCAGCACTATCAGTATTGCCGTTTTCTTCATTTTCATAAATTGTGGTTTTTTGGAACAAAAAGAGAGAGAAATATGTTGGGATGAAAATTCACAAACGCCTCGACTGGCTTTTATGTATTTCTGTTCTTGAAAATGCCCCTGGTATTGAAAGAATTAACGGTATTGCCACCACCATATTGCTCTATCGTAGCTGGAACATGGAAGCAACAGGTTTGCACGTGCACTTCTCCTACCGAAGAACAAAGACAAAAAAGAAAACAAAAACTAATTATATACTAGTACTAATCAATATCCTTAACAATCGCAAAATGTCGGAATATATAATGTCCTACTTAATTTATTTAAAGGTTTTCAAAGGAATTACAAAGGTATGAAGGTTTAATTCTGAGTTCACCTCTTAATAGTATTTTAGAGGTTTTCTTAAAATTTTTAGTTTAAACTAATTTTTCTACCTTTTAAGGTAGGAGTTACACACTACTATCCCCAGATTCTATTTATAGGACTATACTGGGTTTGTCATTATTGTTTAACAACTTTTAGAATACGTGCGTTGCACGTGTGTATAGTGTGTATCAATTAAAAATATGTACATTGATGTTAAAATAAAATGCAATATTTGTTTAAAGGATAAAAATTATTTTTCTCATAGTAATTGTATTAAATATCTTCTGAATATGCATAGATGATGAATTTAGTTAAATTTTAGTTGTGCATTATTTTATAATTATACATATTTTATAATATAATTTATAAATATGTTAAATTGTATCTCACATGAAATCTCTTTATGAATACATTTTGGCTTCTACTAATTTCATCCTTATTTCTTTAAGTTTGTAGTTAAATAATTTAATTCTTAATACTATAATTAAATTTTATTTTATATTCTAATTTCTTTTATCGCCGATGATCTTTTTCTGAAAAATAATTTATGTACTCTAAGTTTTTGGTAAACTTGAAAAATAATTTTACCTATATGATGAATTAGGAAAGGAATAAAGTTGAATTATTTAATATAATCACTAATGAAAATAATTTATTGTTTGATGATTTAAATTAATAACATCATCTCATAGAATAAAATAAATATTTAATTATAACTATAGTTTTATCCACAAAGTTCTTGTGTCACATGATAAAAAATCAAACTTTTGCACTTTATGTTTGTCATAGCGCTAGTAAATGACTTTTGTCAATCACTTATCTCTCTCTTTCTCTTGTTATTATAAAATAGTTTCGTAATTATTTTTTCTATTAATATTTTAAAATCTATATTAATATTTATATCTAAGCAAATTATTGATCAAAGAATAAAATTAATAGCCAACAGACCAATCTCACATAGAATACTCATCGCATTTATATGTTAAATACTGATTTGAATAAATGACAAAGCAAACTACTTCCTCTTTCTTTAATTTTTTTTCTTTATTTTATTTTTTTTATATCATAATTGTTCATCTAAAATTTAGCATGATTATACAATTTTTTGAGATAAAAAACGTTCAATTATGTAAAATTCATATAAGGTAAAACATATTTGGTGTTATTTAATTATACTTTAATTTTAATTCATATAAGATAAAAC